ACATGAAGTATTACAAAGAAACCCAATTTTTTTAAAAAATTACACAAAATATCTTTAAAACTTTAGAAGTACCCAAAACACGCTGACTTTTCAAAACTTAAAACAACAAACATAAAATCTAAAAATTAACAATAGCCCCCCGAGGAATTTGAAATTGCAAAAACAACCTCAAAAGTTCAAATTATAAAAACGCACCCTAAAATTCAGATATTTTAAAACTTGCAAACAACATAGACGGATTCCACGGATTACCATTAGGCACTTAAAAATTTAAAATTTGTAAAATATTTCTCAAAGTTGCAAAAATTACAAAAACTCCATCAAAAGTTAAAAATCTCAAAAAAAAAATCCTAAAATTTCAAAACTTATAACTAGTGGACATCACATCTGGAAGTTATCAACAGATTGTTAGAAATTTAAATTTTAAAAAAAACAACCGAATGTTTTAGTAATTGCAAAAAAAAACCTCAAAGTTTCAGAGTTGCAAGAAACATCTTAACATGTAAACTCACAAAATATAAAAATTACAAGCACCCAATGTAAAATTTAAAATTTTTAAAAAATTCTATCAAACTTTAAAAATTACAAAACACACCCTCAAAAGTTCAAAATCACAGAAAAATGCTAAAATTTGGCAAAGAAAAGAGTAAATGTTTGATATTCTTTCATTAAGATATATAAATTTAATTTTTAATTTAAAGTTTATCATCCCTTTTAAGTATCTAAAACTAGTCTAAGTTGATATTGGTAAAAAATAGCAATTACAATAAATTAAAACTATTCGGTTAAGGAATAAAATTTTTAAAAATCTATGATAGCTTAAAAATTAATGTTGCTATATAAATTTAGGAACTGCATATAATTTTACTAATAACATTAATTAATATAAGACTAAATTATATAAAACTGACAAAAGACTATAATTTAATAAGTTAGCATTAATTGATTACAATGTATAAACATTCATCTCTGATGTTAATAATATTTATAGGGTAAAAAAATATAATGAGTTAACGGATCTAAAGGGATAGCTTCTCGGAGCTCCGTTATACCTCCCTCAAACCGTAGGTCTACCTCAGCTTCAACAACTTGTCAATCAGCTTCTCATTATATAATTACCTGCTTAATTCACCATAGAATTTGATGCGTCAAAACTGAAAGTATGTTTTGCAATAGCTCAAGAACATGATATGTGATCATGGATCATTTGGAGATGACATGGAGTAACAAGTTTATGTATAGAGAAATTATCAGAAAGTTCATAAATATCCTTTAAAAAAATCAAGTTATTTTCATTTCGAATGGAGAAGTGAAGGAAGTAAACCTAAAATTCAAAAACATTCATGAATCACTTGAACTGACATTGACAAAAGTTATATCTAGCAAAGAAGCACCAACTGAGTTCCTCTTGAAGAACATATTGAACAACCCAATCAAAAAAGCATTTTCCATAAAAGATACAAGAAAAATTAGCAAGCGTTTATAAATTTTCATACTTTATTCTTGAAGTACTAAAGAAATCATAAACTTAATATAAAATTACATATAAATAATCTTACAATAAAAACTAAAGTGAAGTCATTGATCAACTATGCTGCGAGATATAATAAGTTAGATAAGATGTGGGTAATCACTATAATGGACAGAAGGTATACACATTATACTTAGTTACAATAGCGTAAGTAAATTTTTTTTCCTTATATAGTGGCATGACTCTGCAAGTAACTTTATTTGGGAATATGATTACCAATGAATGATCAATTTTTAAAGACACGATCAAAGATAAACGTGTAATAGCACTGTCGGGTTTTAAACTCTTTAAATATGAAGGTAACATATTTTACATCTAAAATTTTTATTAAAAGTCACTAAATATAAAGTTCACATTATATTTGTCTCAAATTTGTGTGGGAAATATGCATGTCATCGTAAATTATGTTAATAATACATATCAACCCAAAGATACAACTTATTGAAGAAATGAGAGAATGGTAAGTAAACCAAGCAAACATCCACATAACACAATAACAAAAATATTACACTTTAAAGCTAATATGCATGACTCATTCAGAATAAGCTACTAAAATAAAAGCATACCCATCAAGGCTCTTTACAAATACAATACAAATTTAAACTATTGATATATGCAATCATCACAACATTCAAAGAGGTATGTTCTTACAAGACCTACTCTAAAATGTACACAATTAAATTTAAAAATAATCTACCAATATACAGACATGATGTTGGACCAATAATGTAAAGATAACTACACTTACAATATAGTTGAGACGTGGTTCTAGCTTGCAAAGGCTACAACAAGAAGGTAGATAGCGATGTTACTAAGAATGTACAAGTGATAAATGTCACAGAATCACTGATGATGTCATATACCAATGTTGAGTAATATCAATTTTTCATCAAATAAGCATATCGAAATTAAATATTAACATTATAATCTAAGGCAATTTGATAATACAAAATACAATTATTTAGTCCAGATTCTTGTGAAAAATAACACAGACAGAGCAAAAAAGTAATATTATTTAACGTAACAGAAACTCTTATTGAATGCACACTAGAAAAAATTCATTACAGAGAAAAAAGAGATAACTCCTAACCTTATTTAAAAAATAAATTAGAAACAGAAAATTTTTATATATATAAAATTAATATTTAATCTCATTAAAACACAAAAATAATCAAAGTCTATATTTTTAAAAGTTTCTGTTGAATATTGAAAATATATTTAACTTCCTTATGAAGTAAGACAAGAAGACAAAAGATGAAAGAGCTCATGGAAAAATAATATCACAAAAAATCCAGCTCCAACCTAATGTCAAAATCAATGTAAACAATGAAGACACAACTCTAAAATTACTTAGGAAGAAGATAAATGTAAAGAATGATTGATCTTAACTTAATAAAAAAATAAAACAGAAAGAATAAAAGATTTGTTTTTCGAATTTTATAGAATAGCTTAATTTTTTGAGTAAAACCAATAATATTTAGAAGGGATTCTCATCAACTCTTTTAAGTGTTTTTATATGGTTATGTGGATGATTTTCTCATATAAATGTGTACTAGAGTTATCATTAATCTTTAGTTTATGATTTATTATGAAGTTTATGAATGATTAGCAACAAACTTCATATTCTCTTTAGTTTCGCTCTAGCCCACGTTAATTAATCATCTTGGCTTATTGGCTTTTTTATAATGCTAATTTAAAGCATTTTTCACTTTTACAACATTATATTTTCTCAAACCAAACTTTGTTTCATGTCGATCCAAATTACGTAAAAATTCAAATTAGTTTTAGATTATATTTATTTCCTAGCAATTCAATTATCAATCATGAAAATTTAAATTTAGTGTAGCCCATTCAAATAAAAATCAAAGAAACTAAATAATCACGGTGCTAAAGTTTAAATATATAAGTGGGCAATAACAATGAAAGTGAAACTGAGAAATAAATTTTAGTAAGAAAATAAATTAAAAGTATTTAATCATGATATTCAACCACGTGCATTGCACGTATAAAACCCTAGTAAACAAAAATCGTGGGTTACCTATGAAAATTATAAATTTTAAAATATATTTAATTGACATAGGATCAAAATAAATGAAATTGGATAAAATTTATGAGTTACATAGCCTATGGAAAAAATGTGAATTTTGAAAAAAGAAAAATTAAGTCATCAACTAAAAATAGGTAAAAATAGTGAGTTATAGCCTTAAAACATATGAAAATTGTGAATTTGAAATACGCCAATTAATTTCCTTAGGAGGAAATAGCTGAAAATAGACAAAAAATTTATTGGTTACTGCCCATAAATATTACAAATTTTGAAATATGCTTGACATGGGATTGAAAGAAATAAAAATGGACAAAAATTGTAGAATATTACTCATAAAAATCGTGAATCTTGAAGAATGAAAACATTACCACTATCAGGCAAAAACGAACAAAAATAGATGAAATCGAGCGTTATTGCTCACAAAATTGTGAATTTCAAAACAGGCCAATTAGTTATCTTCAGATAGAAATAAATGAAAACAGAAAAAAAAAGAATTATGGATTATATAGTCCGTAAAAATTATGAATTTTGAAGCATACAAATCATTTACCATTGAATTGAAACTGATGAAAATAAACAATATTGTGAACTATTTCCAGCATAAATTTGAGAAAAGAAGCGTGATTGCAATTTGGATTGAGACAATCTCTTTTTAATCCGTCAAGAAGAGCGTGTCTGGTGAAATTAAGTAGAAACTCTTGTAATGACACCTAAAACTAGTATCATTTAACAGTCTCTTTTTAATCTCTTTTTAATCAGGATTGTAGTATACTAGTATCATTTAACAGTCTCTTTCACTGAGCTAAAATTTAACTTCGCAGTTACAATAAGGTTTGGCGATTGTCGTATTATTATACGCTAAATGCACGTAACAAAAATAACACCTAAAACTTTCAAAGAAATTTTGTTTGAGCATCATAATTATCTGTAACAAACAGAGAACTGAAGTTTAGTTCTATCAAGAAGATGTGCAGACTACATGAAAGTTGTCGAACAACTGAATCGCAACCGTACGAAAACATTATACGATCAGCAAAGCAAAGCAGAACATTAGCCATGATTTTAAAACCACAAGAAGGTTAAACATCATCCACGTGATAAAACGATATTCCATAGTAGTAAGTTTGTCTGCAGCATACCATACTTTGAAGTCTCACCTGGCGTGTTTGGTTAATTCGTTGAAAAGAAAGAAACCAAATAATCGCCTGGGAGGGCCCACATTTCCTCTTTTATCAACCATTACCATCCAAACTTGTATCTATTTAAATTTCTAAGCCTAGATCCCACATGTTAGCCTATTCCTCGGGCATAATACCGTACAACACCTAAAAGCTCGCCACAAGCAGCAAAACTCCATCAGAAGTAACATGGTGAAGTAACTACCACACAATTATTCATAACCGTGGTTTTCCCCCCCCTTCCTTTACATCTCCTCTTGCATTTGATTCAAATGAAAGTTCCCTTCCAAATTTTTGTGCACTTCCACTTTGTATTTCTCCTCCTTGCTCCCCCTCCTCAGTTTGAGAAGCAAGTCAAACTTCACGAGGTCTTCAATCACCTGAAATAACGACAAAAGCCCAAATTATCTTCTCAAGGGCACAGGAACGAATCACGTAGTTCAAATGAGCAAAAACAAGATCAAGGAAGGGAAAACAACCTCTGCCTTTGAATGAAGAATCTCAAGAAGTTCGTAAGCAGCAAGGGAGTTGGATCTCTGCTGGATGGTCTTCACAGCGTGATTCGCTGCATCTTTGACAGTGGGATCGTGGGGTGGGACCATGCGCCATCCACGCTCATGCCCACCTGGCACATCATGGGGCTTATGTTATATGACCATATCAAATGCCTTGGTGTAAAAAGAAACACACACTACACATGTGATGGCTAGCACCAAATTATTCAGACTAGATTAGTACAAGATAACAATGCTTCAGTCCTAAACTAGAACTTAGTGGAGCGTGGTGTAGTCAAATAGGCAAAGGAATGGATGGTTTGTTACCGGATCTTTCCAAGTGAGGGCATTTCCCGCTAATTTTTCCATGTGTGATCGTATTTCCACTGAATTTTCCAAGTGTGAAGGCACTGACGCTAATTATTTCAAAGTGTGGGGGCATCTACAAGATTTACGAAAATGCGAGACACGCCAAAAGTATAACAAAAGGGTGTTCTTTCTTAAAACTTCAGTACAGATAGATGTTGAGCATGAGATAGCCTAGCTATATAAATTCTGAGTGATATTTTCCTCTCTGATATACTCATTCCCCAAAAGAAAAAGGAGGATGAAGTAATATGCATCCTTCATTGAGCAAAGAATCTTATCAGTATAGTTTAATGGTAACACAGTATTCTGTACAAAAAAAAAGGACCGTCGAAACCTGAAATTGCTAAATTGTCCCGCTACCCTCTCACGGCTTAGAACACCCCCGCATATGACAAGGGCACTCTGATAAAAATTCATCATCCCACTCGTTGAACTGCCACTGTTTCATATGGAGTTCCTATATCTAAACAAACACTGTGACCAACTCTACTATCCAGTCTAAAGACAACTATATAATACATAACAGATTTGGGGAAGGAGAGAAACACATGCAAGAGGATGTTGGATCCTTCTACAATAAGTAAACTCAAAATTTTAAATGGTTTGAGTTTTGAGTTTGAGATATTCAACAGTTGAATGATGAACTAGCAGTCAGAGTTTAATAGTGAGTTTAGACTTTACCAATGAGTTTTAAAGTCAGGAGAGAGAAGGTTGATTCCATTTTCTACACCTAATCGGCGAGTAATTTATAGAGTAACATGGTGAAGGTGGAGGCATATATGTCTATTTACTGAACAACAACTACTAGACGTATTTAACCAGATTATGTCACCAACAGTAGGATCATGATAGGAGAACAGCTATTAGACTTCATTGGTCAACTATTCGAGTATGGAAAGCTAGTAGCTTGCCCATTCTTTCATCCCTCCCAAGCAATGACTTGTTGACACAAACATCAGTAGCCGGAGGCAGCAATCATCCAAATCTTGGACACAAGGATACAATTATATACCCATGATCCTTCTGTTGTTTTACTTATAAAAAGCGTTAGGTCGTTATTTATAAGTGATAACCTAACTCTGCACATAGAACATGCACATTACCCATCATTTATATATAGTAAGGCGAATAAATGAATCAGACATTAACGAGTTCACTTATTTATCTTTGGATTTCAAATTAAGTGAACCTATGTGAAGCAATGAATGGTAAGTTTCTTTCCTTTTTTTTTGGTGGTGGGTTGGGGGGGTTACCCATCATTTATATATAGTAAGGCGAATAAATGAATCAGACATTAACGAGTTCACTTATTTATCTTTGGATTTCAAATTAAGTGAACCTATGTGAAGCAATGAATGGTAAGTTTCTTTCCTTTTTTTTTGGTGGTGGGTTGGGGGGGATACACCTTATAACTAACTCATAGGGGGAAATGGGCAAAGATAAACCGTACAACAAATTCATGGGGAAGAAATGGACAAGGTAAACTGTGAAAGTGCTTTATGCTCCACAAATAGTTCTCCAACTACGATAATGCATCCATAATTTCTCCTCTACCACATACCACCTGTATTCACACCCTAATCTCATATCTAATTATATCAGCGCATCTCTAGTTGGCCTTCAAAGCTAATTCAGATCACAGTTCCTCCAACAAGTTGAACACGAAAATCAACTAAAAGCAAATATCAAATGCTAAAGTTTCAATGCACTCATGGTAAATTCAACCTTCAAACCAACTTGATTTCAAGAATAAATATTTACTCAATAAAATTCATACCAACCTGAGCATGGATTACCTCGCTTGGCACCGAGATCGGCAGGGGTGATGGTGGGAGAGGAGTCTCCAGTGTGGGTAAACTCCTGGAGCTCCTTGAAGTCGAGCCACGGCTTAACCCAAATCTTCGCCTCGTAGATCTTCTTCTTCCCAGCTTCAATGGCCTCCACGGTCAAATAGTGCATAATTCCTGCAACCGCCTGCTCCTTCGCCTTCAACACTCGAGAAAACTCCAAAAGGGCGTTCTGCAGACCAAATGATTTCGTCAGATTGAGCAAAACTAGCCCAAACTAGAATAAATATCAAACAAAATCATAAATCGGAGGACGCAGAAAAAGAAATCATTCAAAATCGTGCAATTAAGCAGTATTGAGACATAAATTGGACGAAAACCCATCAACCTCAAAATAAAAATCATAAAAACAGCAAGGGAGAAAAAAAGTCACTTAAATGTAAAAGTGAAATATAAAAATAAAACACCCTTGAAAATAAAGGGTTTCTCAATTCTAAACCCAGACACCGACAATAATTCACATACACAAAAACACCTAAACTGGTCTAATTCTAAACTCCATCCGCGTTAAATACTACAAAAGCATCGATTTAGACTGCTACAATATATAGTACAAGATTGGATTTTGAATAAAAAAGTCACCGAAAACTAGAAAACCCTGATAGAAAAAGAACAAGAACCTGCTTCTTGTTGTGCTCATCAACAGCGAAGCGAGCGAGCTCCTCGATCTCAGCGCTGTTCTCTCCGACGCTCCTCTGGTGAATCCCCCCCAAAATGGGCGCACCATCCTTTTCCTCTTGACGATGATCAGGATCTGAAGCCGATCCATTGGCAAATATAGGCAAATATCACAATAATAACACGAGAGAAATGAGACAACTCATCTTCGACTGCCTCTCCTTTGCTCCCCCCCTTTTATCGAGGTCTCTCGGCATGCCCTGGTACACCGCTGGCATTTATTGCTTATAACCGTATCGAGTCTCGGCCGCGCCGCCGTGGGGAGCTCGGCACTGAGGACACGCCGTTGTTAGGGACCGGGATGCTCTCTGGGTCTACGCTGAGTCCGTCGGTTGGTGAGCAAATTGTTATTTTAGCAGACCTAGTTGACTCATTGGACTCGGGAGATCTTCAGAATGCATAGCAACGCGTCTACTGCCTCGGGTGACGATAATAACCCAGGAAGGTTACGAATATTACATCTCTCCACTGATTGCTAATTATTTTATCTCCTCGTCTTCCCATTCTTTTTTTCTCATTCAGATTCAACTTTAAATAACGCTTTTTTCTTTAGGCAGGAAATGCTCGATGAAACAAAAGATTGGACCCCAAATCTACTTTCATATCGTTGTGGAGTGTATATTATATTTATATTTTATATCACCAGGCGTTTGCTATTTTTACCGTCAAAATCATAACCTATGATAACAAAACATAAATACCAAAATATGCTACCGAAAGGAAACACTTTTCTGTAGATATCAGAAGAAAGAGTACTATGTTCTTGATGACAATCAATTTTAAAGCTAGTTTTCTTTTGATTACCTTTCTCTGGTAGCTGCCTGTGTACAGCGAATTCGGTTGACTATTGCATAATATTTATACCTAATTAATAATTGACGAATATTAGAGGCATATTAACGCTTACTACCCTTGTTGTTTGCGGATAAAACTGTTTTTAAATTACCTTGCTTTCTAACTACCTTTTCTACTTGTACGGTAGGGCATTATCTCTGATGGGCTCATTTGTGAGGCAGACTAATATTGCTAGTTGCAGACTTCAAATGCTCTGTAAGCAATTCCCTGCTATTCCTCGCTCTTAACAAGCAATGAATGATGATCGAAACATAAGGCGCCACCTTAGCCTGGCTTGCGCCCATAAGCAAACTTTTAATGACGGGCATCATCGATGTTTTACCCATAAGGCTTATTTCAGACACCGCCCCTAAACTTTTATACGCGTGCTGCCACGACCCCTTAATCCTTTTTGATTCCACTAAATGTGGCGTTGATATTATATCCTTATTTAAACTCGCCTAATTAGCACCATTGAAGGACGGCAACCTTTTTTTAAGGGCATGAGTTATTTTTGACTCTTTGTCGGTCACGCTGACAAGTTAAATTTGATGATAGCAATGGTCTTCGAAAGATCAACTAAGGAGACAAGAAACTCAAATAGACTCGGTATGTATTGACATTTAATGTGCATCAAATAAATGTCAATCACCTTGGATTATCGTGCAACAAATCCGAGAAGCTCCAATAATCAAATGTATACGCTTGACATATCTTTTTAAATGCACATTCAATTACTATTATGCACCTTTAGGGACCATTTAATACCTTATTAAAATCCATGATAACTATTTAGTTAGGCTTCGTGGTTGGAACCACGGGGCTTTTCCTTTGGTTATGTTCTTTCCCTTGAAAATATTTTTAAAAACACCGTGTTAAGTGTTTTTATCAACACTAGTTATTGACCCATTATAACATTAGATCTAAACCATCCGATTTATAATTATGTATATTTTAAATTATAATAAAATAATTATTAAATAACAATATTATAATATCTTAGTGGACATTATTAGCTATTATTAGGATTAGTAAAACCTAAATGCCCAATATAATATTATATAATATATGTATATTTTATTTATATGATATACTATATTATAATTATTACATATTATTTTTAAATAATTATATATTTAATTATTTTGGTATATCAATTTGTTATTGTTGTATATTATATTAATATTTTTATAATAATATTATTTTATTATTAATATAATATTATACTATTATTCATATAATATAATATTATTAATAATGTTAATATTATGTTATTACTAGTATGCTATTAATAAATTAATATATTATAAATATTTTAATATTATATAATATATTATAGTTTTTAATATGTTAGAGTTTATTATTAGTACTTTAATAATATATTAGTATTTATGATATAAATAAATATTATTATATTATGAATATATTATTTTTACATTAATATTTGTTAGCAATAAATTATTTTATTATTAAAAATTATTTTACTTTATTAATTATTTTATTTATTATATAATATATTTTTATTTTATATTATATTTACTATACAATATATTATTATAATATTATTTTATTATTAAATATGTTACTATTATATAATATTTTATGATTATTAATTTGTCATAATTTATTTATTAAAAAATTAATAATATTATAGCGACTATACTATTGTATAGTATATTATTATATCGTTATTATATTATTGTTTATTATCAATAACTTTTTATTATTTTTATTAGTTTATTTATATTTTATTATTATTTTTATTATATAATACATTACTAACATATTAAACACTAGTATTTTAATATGTTATTATATTATTATATAAGATATTTTAATTATTATATTTTTATATTATTTAATAAATATTACTAATATATTAAATTAACTATAATCTAGTATAGTATAGCATAATATAATAAGCATGTTGATAATAACTCTATATTAATTACATTTAATATATTATGTTAGATATTATATTAACACCTTCTCAAACTCAAAACCAAAACACCAAACTTAAAATACCTAAAAGGTGTTTTGAAATAAGTGTTGTGTTTTTGGTTTGAGGATGATTTAGCTCAAAAAACATCATGATTTCCAAACGTATGGTGTTTTATTTTTGACAAAAACACCATGAAAACAAGTAAAACACCATGGTATCCAAACGGAGCCAAATAAGAAATTATCTTGATAGAAAGAATTAACAAAAAGGTTGCAATTCTGTTTTCCCCCTTTTTATTTTTTTTTGCCTTTTTCCAAATACGTAAAGTTCTCATTGGGTAATCATGTCAAAACTTTCCTCCCTGAAGAATATAGAAAATTTTGAATCCCACTTTACCGTTGAAGAGAAAAAGGAAAAGAAGACACAAAACAGAGAAAGTCCTAACTAAAAATAGGGAAGCAAAGGCCGCATTGTGCGTGGAGCCGCATGAGAAGTGGTTAAAGAGGAAGAAGATTAGTAGAAGAAAAAAATGGCTCCATAGAGAGGGGAGGGGGAGAGATAGAGGCAAAAGTCACAAAAAAATAAAAAGGGTGGGAGGGGTGAGATTGATCTCTCGGCCCTGACTCAAAAGGAAGCGCGGTGGTGGGGGTGAACGCCAGTCGTCGCCATCGCTCTCTCTGCTCGCATCGCTGCTTCCTTCCTTCCTTCCTTCCTTCCCCTTTTTAACGCACAATTTCACCACCCCCGTGATAACCTACACCGTCGTTGGTCTCTGCTCTTCTCGCCATAGTTTCTACACCCTTGCCGTGCTCATTTGGCCATGTAGTTCGGCTGATAGCCCCATCCAAATGCAAAACATTTCTTCATCACAGATTGCTATAGACTATCACAAGGTACGTCTCATAACACATTAATACTTTCCCTCATTGCATTATTCGAGATTCCTTCAACCTTTGGAATCGAGGATTCTGATTGTGAAACATTTCAGAATTATTCAGGTTTCGACAGGTTATCCAAATTCCCTACCGAAATGTGCGGAATTGGGATTTACCTTATTCCACTTATACCAATAATCACGTCGAAATTCTGTTGATTTCACCTTTCCGACAAGACAACATGAACTGAGTTTACATGAATTGAATTGGAATCGAGGATTCTGATTGTGCAACTCTGAAGTCACATTCATGCCTCTAGATTATCATGTAACATATACACAAACTAGTGTACACGACTACGCATGTCTTAATCTCATCGTAAAAGGACCAAACCTGCAGTTCCTTTGGATAAGACTGACAGAATTCACTGTAGTCAATTTGCAACCACATAACGTTTCTAGCTTTTCAACAACAAATTTACCCCCCCACAACTTAATTCACTGTACATCAGACTATAACACAGTTCTTAAGAAACCTGCACCCTAATACTTTGCACATCAGACATTCTGCTCAACCTGTGGCTGCTTGAATGAAAACATTCTCAGTAACCAATTTGCAAACCGTAACGTATCAAACTGCATCTACATACTTCGCATATCAGAAATTATGCTAAATTCTTTCATTATGACAGAGGGCGCTGTAATCATTGCCCTCCGTTGCTTTCATTTGTTCTTTCAGGTGCACCTGATGGATGTTTCAGCCATGGAGGATTCTGGATCTCAATCGGAATCAGACCCATGGAACCAATAATTCTACAGGAACACCACCATCAAGAGAAGGAAGACCAGTAAAATTAAAAGGAATAAAAAAGGGGCCAAAATTGTAAAAAAACCCTGCCTCGCCTCACCCCTGCCTTGCCTCACCTCCTTCAACCAAGAGTGCAAATGCAACAGATACATGCATGCCTACAAGCCCCAGCTCCCCTCCTCCCTCGCTGAGACCATCTCCATCTCCCATGGCCGTGGTCCTCGACTTCAACCATCATCCTCATGGTTTCAAACCCTGGAAACGCCGCCTCCGCCTCCTCTCCTTCCCCCATCCGATCTCCGACTTCTCCCACAACCACCCTCTCCCCCTCCCCTCGCCGCTACCACTTCCACCGAAAGCACTCCACCCCATGCTTCTCCGCTGTTCATGCATCCGCAACCGATCATAATGACCGAATCGCCCATGTCGAGATCATCCGCGTAGCTCCCGAGCCAAAGGCACTCAAGCCCTCGTGTCGTCGAAACCGCCATTGCCTTGGCTTCTGGTTGAACTTCCTATCCCGGCTCCACGGCCTCGCGGGGCCTACTCCTCCGTAACCGTTCAAGCGTGGTGTTTTGCTGTTATTCAAGCCAATAGGCCGACGCAGCCAGTTTCCCTCAGCATGCTCGGTCGCCCAGCTGGGTCTAGGGTTTCTATGTACGCCAGTGAGACCGGCCTCCGTGAAGTCGCTGCTTATCTCCTTGACCATGGCAGCTTCTCTGGCGTGCCTCCGACTGCCCTTATCAAGATTTCTCATCCATCCCTTCATTCCGTTGCTGGCTCTCCTTCCGGCACGCTGTCCAAGAAAATTGCCTCCATTCAGAGATTCGTGCCACACAATTTTGATGCCGGTGATCTGGGGCCGTCAAGGTTTTCCGTCACGTCTGTCCACCGTATCGGCATTCTTGATGTGAGGCTCCTCAACATCGATCGCCACGCTGGCAATATCCTAGTCAGGAAGCACGTGACAAATGGAAGCTATCGAGATGAGCCGTCTCCAATGGCCGAGCTTGTGCCGATCGATCATGGCCTTTGCCTACCGGAATTCCTCGATGACCCTTACTTTGAGTGGTGGCCGCAGTCCACTGTTCCTTTCTCAGAGATTGAGACCGAGTATATATCAGTGCTGGACCCGTTTAAGGATGCGACACTTCTTCGGTCTGAGCTGCCGTCGTTAAAGGAGTCAGCCATCAGAATTTTTATTCTCTGTACTATCTTTCTTAAGAGGGCAGCAGCAGAAGGCCTTTGCTTGGCTGACATTGGAAGCATGATGACAAGGGATTTTTGTGGGATTGAAGAACAACCGAGTGTGCTTGAAGCCCTCTGCAACCAAGCAGAAGACTCAATCCGCACACGCAGTACTAGCTTCTTCTTAGAAGATGATAGCAGCAGTGAAGATAGTGATTACAGTGATGATGATGAAGATGATGAACCGATTGTTCAGTTTGAGATGGAATGTGATGATGTCGGATTCACAAAGAGCTGTATCGAGAATGTGCTTGATATTCCTCTGTTTCTTCGAAGCATGAATGAGGTGAAATCAAATGTTTTGGGGACTCTGAGTGAAGGAGGAGGAGAAGAAGATAATGGGGATAATTTTGATGATGAGAGAGATGAACCCAAGTTGGGAAGTATCACGAAGAGCCTGAGCCTGACAGCTGCAGAGCTTAACCATGAATCTGGTGAAAGTTCAAGTGGCAAGTGTATCTCCTTCAACAGGATGAGTGAGGAACAATGGGGCTTGTTTCTGGAGAGGTTTGAGCAACTATTGCCTGTGGCTTTTGAGGCAAGGAAGAGCATGGGGTTGAAGCAAAGGTTAGGAACTTCATGCAAGTTTTAAGAAACCCAGAGAGATGTAGAGAGAGAAATTGAGATGATGCAAACTAAAAGAGCTTCTAGATAGGGTATTTCATGAAACTAATGGAGGATGTATGCCATATCTGTACATTGAATAGGTGGTGTACCATGCATATGGTTTGTAGATCCAATTAGGTTTGAGCAGTGGAGTACTTGAAGAATGAAGATACTGTTTCAGTAGCAAATCCCTGATGGATGTCCCTATGGGGAATGAAGTATCCTTGATACCTTTCATCTGCCTAATATGATGTTCCATATTGATCATTTATGGTGTGCAAACTTACAAATGTACATAACTAGTTATCTACTTGTGTTGTTTCTAAGTTTACATATGTTCCATAAAAACCCTACCCCTCCAAGGCAGTTAAAACAAGTCCTATTTAAATACAGGCACGACAGTCTCCCATTGTAGGAGTCCAAAAAATAGTCGGCTCAAATTTCCAACTCAAAGCAAAATCAAGTGAACCAGGTCAGCTTCCACAATCCACACTGATTCCCAATAAAATGATAGAAACATAATATAGGCTAAAATTGGTTTTATTGAGTGCACCAATATATGAGCAGTATACAGGACAAAATTGGTCACTGATAAGGTAAGATTATTTTATGCTTATCAAGTAGTTTCAGTGACACTCATTCTTTAGCCGAGAATGCCAGGATAGTAGGATAGGAAAAGAAATATCATATGACAATAGCGAGACAGCAAGCTCACTAGATTTAGTGGTTACCATTTAAATGGGCGGAATTTGCCTTTTCCTTCCTGTTTGCAATCTGCTCTTTCATTGTGTTCTGAGTCGTTTTGCTAAAAACTTCTTTTTGCATGTCAATCCCAGGATATGATCTCCCGCTAGTCGCCACAAGATCTTTTATGGTCATTTTTAGATCCTCATCTTTTAACAGTGTCTCTATAGTTACATGTACTCCTGCATCCACCAAATCAATAGATGTCAATGTAGCTTGTTGCAGTTGATATCAGCAATGTCAAGGACAATGTTTTCAAATAGTATGAACCCTGGTCCGAATTTAAAAAATAATAATAACTGCAGCAGGACTTTAGGCATTTTTCCTCACATGTTAAGTAAGCATGCTCATCTATGTATATTGTCAAATTCTCCAAATTATACTTACGGAATCGCCAATAGTGTTTTGGGTTTGTAGGATCATTGATAGTCTCCTCTGCTGCAGGTCGAGTTGTGTATTCCTCTTTCAGAGCAAGCAAATCCTAATCAAGAAAATATCAAATATTATTTCAAATATAGTTGACAAGAATGAGATAATCAAATTGAAACAATGTTCCATCACATCTATCCATAGCACAACCAAAAAACAATTACAATGGTATTTCATGCCTACCTGAAGTGGGAAAATTGCCCACATTGATGGAGCGTGGAAATGTTGTTGAAGAATGAAGTGTGCAACCTCGGGAATGCAGCGAGAAGGGGGTTCGTCATTGCATCCAACCACACTCTTATAGAAACGCCATCTTCTCTCCTCATCTTCTTCCCACCATGCTCTCATGGTCGAACAATCATGGCATGATGGCGCACATACCTGAAGCAGAAAAGCAACCCATAATTATTCCCGTAGTTTTATTCCGCAACTTTACCTTTACATAACCCCGCAATAGTAGACCAGGTCTCATCTTTTCAGGATAATATATAAATATTCACATTTAGATTAAGATAAAACGCTTATACCAAAACAATATTTCGTTGTTTCAGTATAATGTTTAAAACCCATCACTGATGTGCTAAGCAGAAATATTATTTAAACCCCTAAACATCATATGAAAATTGTACTTTATTATTTGAATAGGAGTGTGCCCTTATTCATAGTAAACTATAATTAGATCAACTGTAGGAGAAATTTGAAACATTAGTCCACTAGTAGGCTGAGTAATGGGAGCACACCGTCATATAGTCGTATTTAGACGGAATGCCAAACTCTACACCAGATTCACTTGGCATTCTCTGGATGCGTAACCCTATCAAGCCCAGCTCTTGCATGACCTGGAAACCACATTTAAGAGTCAATTAATAAGTTACGTGGCTATTAGGCCAAGAGCGAAAGTCGATAAGACACCACATACAGGATGAACACAAGCCGGAATTAGCCCAAGATCTTCACCACATGCCAACATATCTGATGAGCTCAATAGAGCAGGAAGGGTTTTCAGCGCATTTTGACGCCACAGATCTTCTTGACGAGAGAAATAGTAATCATAGTACAATCTTTTCAGTACATTTTTGCTGCAACAAGATACATCCAGTCAGATATATCACAACTGGTGCATATAAAACAGAAATTATTATCTCAAACATTTATTAGAAGTCACTGAATTAGTATGTTTTTTTTAAATGCAATGAAAGCAAAACATCATTGCATAGACTTATTACCCATCTTGCCCTAAAGTAAACATTCTAATGATGGAACAAATGGAATAGAAAAAGTACAGGAAACCAACTAGATGTGAACAATATGCATAACCATTCAATTGTAATAAACATAAATCATCCAATTTTAACGATAAATATCAGGTGTTACCTGTGCTCATCTAAATCCCTAAAATTTAATGTGTCTTCAAGATTGAAACGGGGGTAAAATTTTCTACTGTCTTCAGGATCCCTGATAAGAACTATATCCTGAAACAAGATAAATTGCAAAGAAATAGTGATACAACTAGAACCAAAAGGCATTACGATGAAACTTAGCATTCTTCCATGATAAAAAAAACCACAAATGTAGAAGATTGATTATTTCTGTCTCATGCAAGTATATTTTTACCTTTAGAAGGTCAAAGAGGTCCCGTTGTATCTTGTCCTCTTTGTCCAACCAGAATGACTTTTCAGGACCCGGCCTGAGTTTAGCAACAATTTTCTTTTCCGTATTGCAGTCTTCCTTGAACTAAAGAAATCAATCAAATGAAACATGAATAAAAACCTTTCTGAACACACATAAAAACAGGATAGTGGAAGTTTCTGCACAAACTAGAGAATCCCTCGTACAGTCTGATTTCTCCATCCAATACTTCAAATTCAATTTAAATATTATAAATTTGGCTTCAAAGCACAACCCACTTTCATAGAAATGTAACATCACATCAACATAGCAGAGCTTGCTGATATGCTTTATCTTAGTACTTAGCACAGTACAACATAAACACCAACAGTCTGTTTTGTAATGAATAAATAAATGAGTGTTGACCAGTTTTGTTTTCGGCATGCCATAAGTGGTAGCAACACTATATTTGCTTTAGTTACAAGTTACTTCTATGAATTATCTTTGCACAAAGGCACAGACAAACCAATCTGATCCTTCCTATTTTACTTTTGAAGTCATCTGGGGACAGTTTTGAATCCATTTATTTAACTTTGGATGATACCATCATCAACAATCTAAGTTGCATGGAAACGGGCACGGGTACTGGTACTGGTACGGGTACGGGTAAGGGACACGACAAAACTGTAAAATGTAGGGTACGGGGACACGGCTACATATACATATTGAATTAATAATGTATATGAGATAATTTTTTCCCGCTTCATGTGTCATTAGAATTAAATTCCGATTACATTTTTGAGTTTCTTTTATCATATTGATTATCGTTAATTGTAAATTACTCATTTTTTTACTAGACATCTAAATGACCCATTAACTATATAGTTTTGAACTTGGGTATGGACTGAAACGAACCCGACCCGTATCTCATTAGTTTCAAAAGATGGATGTGAAGTGTAAGCTCTACGTCCAGGAAGTCTTTGACAAGTGTTTTAAATTAACACATATATCGTATAATTGAGTACATGTTGTAATAAATGCATGCAAATATTCAAGAAGCGTCCATGAAGTTTGGGTACGGGAAATTGTCGGGTACGTGTCCGGTACGGGTACGGCTTCAATATAGAAGTACCCGGGTAACATAGTCAACAATGAAAAGCACTCTGAGCTTTTTTGAGATGGTACTCAAAAGACGTGCGACTCTGTGAATACTTATACTAACGACATCAATTCTTCAAATCATATGCAAGAATCTCGCTAAAAGCTACCGATGGGTGTTCAATTCTCAAGCATGCTTAGCAATTAAATTATATTGAGAAACCCAATTATTCTCGTACTATATTGACTCTCCTGCTAGAGTATATAAGAAACTGAGTATCTATCATCTAGTGAAATGCAAGGTTGTTCTTCTTAACAACACTGCAAAACTTAAGAAGTGATCCAATTTAATTAAATAACAAAATAACTCAAATTACAAAGTGACAATCATCGACGCCATAGAATTTTTTTTCAAATAGTGACAAGTTTTACCCGAAAGCAATTGCCACTAGATATAGCCTGTTTAAATTAGATAAAAGTTAAAATTAACGGTGCCTTTTGCAATTAGTTGTAAAGAACCAAAGAAGACACTAACAGCCATAAGAAATATTTGGACAAGGTTGCAACTACAAAGGACTCAGCCCCCAAGTATGAAAACATATAGTGGGTAGACAACGTGAGAAGAGCCTTATTGCTTTTGATCATGATTTATGGTTGCTGCTATACAATGTCACAAGTTTTCTTTAGCTCAGTTATCTCATTCTACTCATGGTTGTTTGTCAACCTGGTATTTCTAATTGACACTTGTGTTATTCCTCTAAATTATCCGGTTAAAAGATCAAATTTGTTACCTCTTTACAGGCAAAAATCTGTCTATGATCCACCAAATATGGCTTAGGGATCAGCTAGAGCCTAGAGCTATGGATGAATATTATAAATATAACTTTTTTCCTACTATAGCTTTTTTCTTACTATAGAAGTTAAAGGGAAAATTTTTGAGTTCACTACTCTATTTCTATCAACAGCTAGTGGAATATGTACAATTCATTTTAAAAATCTCTAATTCATAATGATAATTGTAAACAGTCAACTTAAAAGATGAATATTGGTACCTCATAGCAGTCCTTTTGATATTCATTCAAAAAATTTGAAGCAATAATTGGCCAAAATGATCCAAATTTCTCCTGAAAAAAAGATAAATCTTACAAAGTCAGATGAGCAAATTGTAAGAGTAAAGATCATTTCATTCACAAACCATTATTCATAACTGTCAAATTAAAGAGACCTGTAAAATATGTTGTCGAATATATGGACGAGTCAGGCGATCAAAGTCCCAGATGCCTCCTTGCTCAAGTTCATCCTAGAAAGGAATTGTTAATAGTGCACAGAACTAAGAACCAGCACATTATAAGACATTTTATTTGTCTAATTTTTTATTTGTCTAATTTGACCAAGGGTATAGGTAAAAATTTTAAACTGTGCGGTACAACATACTTATTTTAGCCCCAGAAAATTGTAGATCTCTACACAGATTTACCTGACTCAAAGCAATGGATGGACGAAATTTTCCAACCAAACCAGTAAGGGTATGTTCAGGTAGCTCCCAGATTCTAAAGAAACCCAATATATGATCAATTCTGTAAGCGGAGAAATATTTTGCCATCTGTGTGACCGAGAGAGAGAGAGAGACAGAGAGAGTAAAGGAGAAGATATTATGAAAAGGAACAATCTTATAAAATGAATCTAGTAAAAGAACTAAAGCTTCATAACCTGCGATAGACGAGCTCTCCACCAACCATAGTTATCTTTTGACATTTCCTCCCAATTATAAGTGGGAAAACCCCAGTTCTGCCCATTCTTATCAAAATAATCTGGAGGTGCTCCTGTAGATGTGTTCATACGGAATAAATTAGGATACACCCAAGTATCAACACTGTTTCTGTCCACGCCTATTGGTAGATCCCCTTTCAATACAACTTTGTTCTTTCTTGCATAAGCAGCTGCTTCTGACAACTGACAAAAAGAAGACAATAAAACAGGTAATACTGTATTAGTTAACAATGGATTCTTGTATGTAAAGTGAAATCAATAAATAGCATTCTGGAGGAAAATAAGATAATTTGAAGTAAATAAGAAATTTTTCATTTACTTGTAAATGCAGATGGAACTGAATATAATAGTGAAAACAGATGACGTCATAGTGTAAACTCTCCTTTGAAACAAGCTTCTCAAGCTGCAAAAGCAAAGTCAATAACTAAGTACTGAAAGTTAACAATATCTCATGGCTCATGCACTCAGGTAAAATAATCTTCCCTAAGAATAAATGAAAGCAAACAGACAATTGGAAGAACTCAACAAAAGATAAAACTTGTTTGGATGACTTGTTATAAAATAATTAAAAGTGGAGAATCAAGTGCCTCACCTTCTCCTTTGAAAATTGAGCAAAACGGCCCCACTGGAAGTGATCTGATGTCTCAAAGAAATCCCTCAAAAAGCAGAAGGCTGCATAAGGCTTCAACCATTCCTGCCCAACGATAACATGTTAACACTCAACGCATGCAAATAACCATAAGACAGCAAACAGACAATAATCATGATTTGTTCTTTGAAATGGAAGGTGCTTTGCCGTACATATAAAAAAAACATTTAAAAAATAGTGGAGTTATGTGTACCCCACCTCATTCTCAGAGAAGAACTTTCGGAATGAAGCAGAATTGAGAATCTCATCCTTCTCCAGATCAAATATTCTCTTTGCTATAGATAATTTAACAGCCATCACGGCCTCATAATCAACATCCTGTATAAAAAGTCATAAAATTAGCATGATAACCATAAAAGGGTACATGGCTATAGAAAATAGCGACTAGGTGAATGGTCCGCTGGTCAGAAACAGAGGACTTAGTGCTCATAAAGTGAGCAAAAGTGTTGAAATGGTTTTTGTTTTCAGTACACTAGTTACAGTTTCAATAGGTTTGTTTTTACAATTTCATGTAGCCGACTACAAACATTTGGGATGAAGGTTTTGTTGTTGTTGTTGTATCATTCTAGAGACAGGCCGTAATGTACAGTGTTCACACTAATATATCCATGTAAACTCATCGTTGTATAAGTGATGCAGATGGGTAACATCAGCAGTGCAACGGACAAAAAATGACTACTTCAGAGTGAGAAAATTTGGTAAATGGTTGCTGATGCTTTTCTACTTTGCAGAAAGCACATGTATGAGAGTCATGAGCCAGGTGCTTTACCTATTGTACACCATTAACACAAACATATGCTACAGTAACTTTTATATTTGTTGAGAAGAACACAGGAGAGATGGGAAAGCATTTCACAAGTATCACTAAAGCCATATGAATAATTAAAAGGTCTAGTAAACCTAGAGGCAAGGATACCCGAAATATAAGATTATGTAATGTGTGTGTGTCAACAACGTCCGCATATAAACTAAACTGAGATGTAACATATCATTCACCAGGTAGCACAGGATAGATGTGCAAATAGTTGGAGATGTCATAGTTGTACAATTCATAAACTTTGTACTAATTTGTCTTTCCCGATAACAAAGTTAGCTAGGAAATTGTTGTCAAGTAAATATTTTGCATTTGTCGGCATATTCTAAATAAGTCACTTAAGGTAGTCAACATAAGATCACAGAGTGGAATCATGGTTGAAAAAGCAAACTTCTTCCCCAAGTCCTGGAGGTTCTCGGAAAGCTCAAATTACTAAACATTCAGCTCAAACGTTGTTTCCAAATCCCAAGTCATTTCCTTAATTACATTGTCTCCTTGAAAAGGTATAATTACCTGCAAAGATCAGACCCAAAAATTCCAGCAGACACTTAAATGTCCACAAAGTTAGGTGTGCCCTCAGCTGGCATACCTTTTTTGCGGTTTCAAAGTTTTTTTTTTTTTTTTTGGCCTTCGTGGCTTCTATTGTCAGTTGCATGAAAAGAATCAGAAGGAAAGAACTCAAAGTCATAAGCCAGGTTGTATAAGTAAAATAACATAAAACTTAAAATGACTGTCCAACATTCTCAAAGGTCCTATGGTTTCTAATTGTGCTTCAGGACATAGAAACTGAGTATTGATTGATGACAACCATACTATTTGTTTCTCAATAAAAGAAATTGAGCAGATTTCCAAATAAATCCTTCAAAACTAATAAGGACTGAAGGGCTTTAAGTAATTTACAGGATTATCTTAATGCCCAGAATTTATTATGAGTTATGACTCAGTTCCTCCTTCCTACAAAAACAATTCAACAAACTCTTCACCCTAAATCTTGGGACTGTAAGGTCCCACACTGTCTTAAATATCAAAGGGAACTAAATATGTATGATATACAGGAAGCTGTGTACAGCTTCCCACATTTGGCATAAGAATAAGTCGAAAATTCCTGGGAGTACTAGATTTCATCACGTTCTCACAAAATCACATGTTTTGCAAGAAATTGATTTCTTTCGATGGTGGCAGTGGTAAAAACCTTATGTTCCAGAAGAGCCCCTCTAGGTGTTCTGTTTTCTTTTGCTCCATGCCACAGTTAGCAGTATTATTACTGCTGCAGCCACCTCCATCATCATCATCAACCCTAGGTCCTTAATGCATTGTTACTGCCCCCAGAATCGTCACTGCTTTTGTAGTCACAGTTGCTGCAATTTCTATCTTCACATCAACACCACTATCATTCTACAGCCAACACCATCCCCGTCAAAACTTTATCGTTGCCACTCCTGTACAATTGCTACTGCCACTATAATTGTTCCTAGCATCGTTGAGCGTGTAGGCGTTAAAAACCGCCTATAGGTCCGAATACAGTTCAAGACGACGTGGCAACGAATCGTCGACACAACGAAGTGGCGAAACATTGAGAACAAGACAATGAGCCCGCGCGCTCATCGGCCAACTCCAAGTGGCTAACACACTCACTGGCCACCTCCAAGTTAACGAAACGCATGAAGCGAATCGCGGAAGCGCACGAGTCAACGAAGAGACGAAACGCGCGTAAAGGCAAAACAAGCGCAAAACAAGCGAACTGAAGGAGCTATAAACAGCCAAAACGTCAAAAAGACGAACGAAACAGACCAGGAGGCTCGCGTGAGTGCGAGCCACCAAATGGTGGCTCGCACAGTTCCGAGCCACCACGGGCACTGCTGACTCCCAAAACACGAATTTCAATGTTTTGTTAGAATTCTTTCATCCCAGGATCTCCCCAACTGTTCTGAAGCTACCCTTAAGTGTGCTTGGGCAGTTATCAACTGCAGATGACGTCAAAATACTTAATCTTATCAGAAAACGCAACGACAAAAGCCTATAAATAGAAGCCCAGGATCTTCATTTGAGAGGATCTGAAATCAGAGGGCGAGGTGCTGTCAATTTGAACAGTAGACCACGGATTTCAGAGGAGAGTTGGTAAATCTTGGCGAACTTCATCATAAAGAGGAAGCCTTCGAAAGATCTGACTCTTTTTCCCTTTTTTTTCCTCCGGATCAAACTTGGTTTTGATCTCGAGAAGAGCCACAATCCCGTTTGGTCGTGATTGTCGCTTCTGCAATTGTTTCTTTCGTGAAACAAGAGCATCAATTAACTCTTGTCAACCGGATCAGATCCGCGGCGGTCCACGGACTAACGAGTCCCCGGCACAAGCGAAAGATCACACGCAAGCAGCAGGAGATAAACTACTTACGTATTGTTTGATAAAGTTATAATTTTTACCTTTTCATTGTGTAAGAATATCTTATAAAAAGATCAACTTTTCTTTCAAATTGAACTTGTAATCGATAAACGGTGTAACAGTTTTAATGACAATAAAACAGTAACTTTTGACGCAAACAAACTGACGACCACAGTAAGCGCCAACCTATGATGCACGAATACGGATACGTGACACGGATACGACACGGATACGGGATACGACAAAATCCAAAAAAATAGGATATGGGGATACGGCAATGAATTTTTTTTAAAATTATTATTATATATAGAAAATTTTATAAAATCCAACTAACAATCTAAAATATGAATCTATCACAAAATAACAATCTAAAATATATTATTTGTAACTTTCTCCATCAGATTTATGATAATAATATGACGATGGGTTGCTGCTCGAACTCAAAAACCAGAGGAGATGATGATGACAGTGGTGGTGGTTGTGCTTGACGGAGAGGAGGAATAGAGGGTGAACTTCAGGGGTCGGAACAGCGGAGCAGTCGGCGGGATCAGGTCGGAACAGCGGAACGGTCAGCGGGATCGGGTCAGAATAGCGGAGGTGATCGAATCGAACGGGAGTGAGCTGAGAGATTGAGAGAGAGGATTAGGGTTAGGGTTAGGGTTTTTTCTTTTTTTTCTTTCGTTTGAGTCAGCTGAGGATCGAATCGAACAGGAGATTTGAGAAATAAGGTTGAATCCGTGCAACCCGTAACCCGCAACCCGTAACCCAAATGAATCGGCCTTCGGCAAATCCGAGACGTGTCCGAGCTCCTTTGACCGTGTCCGAGCCTAATTTGACCGTTGACCTGTGTCAGACACGAATTAACCGTGTCAGACACGGATTGACCGTGTCCGACACGTGTCGTGCACATGTCGTGACGAATCCGTGTCCGACCGATTCATGGCCTCTGCGGACGAATCCGTGCTTCAGAGACGCCAACAGTCTCGTCGCCAAGGCTGTCATGTCGCAAGTAAAGATCAAGATCCCGGTTGATTCAGAGGTCGAGTACGAGTTCGACGAAGCCAAGTTTGAGGAATATTTCTCATCGTCTTCATCAAAATCCTCCTCTCCTTACAAGTACGGAAAGATCCCATCTTTGAAGGAGGCGTATTCGCCGATGAAGGCTTCAAATGACTCTGCTTGTCACAACTCCTCCCCAGTCAAGGAGTTGTTCAATCAAGATACGCCAACTCTGACGAAGAGGGCTTGTCAGAGGCGACGCCACCGCCAAGCTCGTCAAATTGCCAAGATGTTAGAACAAGTCGATGGAGTTCGCTACTACGCAAGCTTGGAGTCTAGGAAGCGTCATTTAATCCAGCCGCCTCAACGGCAAGCTGCTGCTACTTCCTCCAAACCATCGACGGGAGAATGTGTTCTTATCAAAAGGACTCGTTCAATCTTGAAGGAGCGCATCCAAAAGCGACGCGCACGTGCCGCACGCGGACGTGCCTTTATACGAAAAGCTCAAGGCATGCAGAAGGAAGAGGTGGCCAAAAAACCACCGAAATCCAAACAAGTCTGGGTGTCGAAGGCCGAAACAACACCGAAATCAACTCTGTTAACCTCCGAGCCTACTCGTCTTGCTCCCGCATCTCCGGCGAAGCCCTACGGTAGCGTGGATCTGTCCAATTTTAAAATTCCGATGAAAGATCGCCTGGGTCCTCTACATAAAGATCAAGGCAAAGCTCCGGTGAATAAAACCCGAGTAGTTCCTCAGGCTGGGGGTCGTACAAACACTCCTGTCAAGCCAAAGACCGTTCAAAGGTGTCCCGTCACCTCCAAACAAACCGGGACACCTTATTGTATGTGTTCGTGCACCGTGCATAAGAGGACTCCTGGCATCGATCACCTGGGGGTTCGTGTTGAAACCCGGGAGCCCGTTAAGACCTCGCGCTCGCAAGGGGATGGTTCTAAATGTCTGACTCCTGATGCGACCTTGGATCATTCAAAGACGATAACGAATCGTCCCGAGTATGTTAACAAGGTTCTCCTTCCCCAAAAGAAGATGTGTCTATCAAAAGACAACGTTATACTTGGGGTATCACACCAACAAGCAATGGATTACTCCAATGAGCTGCACCATCA